GGGCAGGATGTCAAAGTGGACTCTGGTTGCTGATTGGTGGAGCTGGTCGACCGTCACCTGGTGGGCGGAGCTCCAAGCTTTCTTTCTGAAACATTTTGTTGTATGATGACTTTATTCTCGTAATAAAATATAAAACTCTGTAGCCCGGCCCTGATACTCCATCATAGGAAACCATTTCTGATACAAAATGAGAATTTTATTTGCACCATAGTGAGAATAAAATGCAGGAATAAGCATACCCATCTTTAGTAACAGCTGGTGGCCCTTATTCTCCTCTCCCAATCGGGTGTCTGGAGCCGGGCCTTTAGAGGAAGAGGCGCTCGATGCTGGATTGGAGCTAAAGTGAAACAAGAAGATTAGCATCTTTGATTTCTGTACAGCGCTGTGGAACATTTACAATTTCATCTTTTTTCTAAGTTTAAAGGACAGAACATCAAAAAACTGAATATTAGTCAAATATATGTGTGTGTGGTGCGGAACAAAGCGTCAGTTGAGGCTAATCCTACTTTCTGACTTCAGACGCTCTGAATCCTGTGAACCGTCCAACCTGACAATCTGTCTGAATGAAAGAACCTTTCACTGGTGACAAACTGATTAATCTGATTTCCTGTTTTAATACATAATTTCAATTTCGTAAACTTAGCAAACGTCCAGAGCTAATTCTCAGGATGCCCGGTTTTTATTCTACCTCTGGCTGCACAAATAAAAGGACTACAAACCAGATCCAGTGGGATTACATTTCATTATTGTGATTTTATGAGATTATCTTCATGTTTCACAGTTACTGTTTTTCTGGTGTTTAAAAAAGATGATCAATAGCAGAGATGGAAGCAGAGAAAAATGCTTAAAACACTGATTTTTAAACGGTGTGAATGAAAGTTTATTTAAAAAAAATGTGTAATAAAGAGAGAAATATGAAAACTAAAAATATCTATTTTATATACAACTGTATTTGCTGCTATAGGTTTAGACTGCTGGAGGAAATGAGGCCGTGCCAACGCCGTCCATCCCAAAAACAGGGCGTACGATTTCTAATATTTTTAGTAAAAGGCGTACATGTACGCCCGTACGCATTGCTAGCCAACAGCCTGATTGAAGATCCCTGAGTTCAACAGTAAAACTGCAGCTAGAATTTAGTTGTGCTGCTTTTGACCGATATTTTTTTTTTGATGTTCTGAAACGCTTTAGGAAACAAGAGAGAGGTGGCGTCCATTCATCATCAAACCATCACAGCCAGTGAACTCACGTAGGAGAAGAACTCCGGGATTTGGGAGCGCGGCTGCGCTTGGCTGGAGAAGCGGAGCGGGATCTGGATCTGGATCCGGAGCGACTCCGAGAAGACCGTGATCGACTCCTGGACCTGAGAGAAGATTAAACCTGTAGTTAGAACGCATCTATGTGGGAAAATCCCAGTCCATCTCTATCTGCATGTTTTCTAAACTAAAGCCAGGCTTTGTTGGGCTGCTGGATAAAACCTGGAACTAAACGCTATTTCTGACATTTGGAATTGAAAAATCTTCCTGAATGGAAGAGAAACGTCTTCAAACTTGGAAACAAAGTCCAGAGGATTGATTTTAACTTTTTAGGAATAATTATGACCTGGATGACTGAGAACCCAGCAGGTTTACAGCATGGCTGTTTTTACTTTTAATGGAGTAAAGACATGAGGAAGTAGTGCTGTTCTTACTCAAGTACT